GCTCCTTTCAGATCCTTTCATGCTAGGTATTGACCAGAATTTTATTCATCCTGTTCTTGCTATGAAAGAGACATTTCCAGACCTACAATAGGAAGTTAATGCACCTCCAAATAATCATTGAGCCATAGAAGATATCATAATGGAAATTAGGAATTATTGTGAGATGATTGAAATTAAAACACAGCATACCAAAACTATGTGAAACAAGGCTTGGGAAATTCACAGGTATATTTGGTTTCGTTTTGGTTACTTTCCCCTTATTGTGAACTTCTCAAATGTATTTGTTATTGATTTCTCAGTTTTTGTGGTAGAGGAAATACTCTGTATGATTTCAATCATTTTATATTTATTGAGGCTCCTTTATGAATTAGCAAACATTTTTCCCCTTATTTTTTAATTGATTTTATTTTTTTAAATACACAACAGTAGAATGCATTACAATCCTTATTACACATATACAGCACAATTTTTCATCTTTGTATATAAAGTATGTTCATGCCAATTCATGTCTTTATACATGTACATTTTTGCATTACAATTCTTATTACACACTTATATCATAATTTTTCATATCTTATCTGGAGAAATTCCATGTGCACTTGTGAAGAATGTGTATTTGTTGACTGGTGTAATATAAATCTTTGTTATTCATAGTGTTGTTCAAAGCCTCTTCACCCATTTCAGTTTGTTATCTAATTGTTCCATTCATTATTGGAAAGTGTATAATAATGTCTCCAAATGCTTATGTAGAGCAGTCTACTTCTCCCTTAATTTTTTCACTTCATAGGGAGTTTTTGTTAGATATATGTATATATAATTGTTATATCCTAATTGATTGACCCTTTTATTATAAAATATCCCTTTTGTCTCTATCAGAAATTTTGCTTTAAAGTTTGTCTGATATTACTAAGTCCATCAGTAGGGCTCACTTATGCTTGTGTTTACAGGGTATATCATTTTTCATCCTTTGTCAATTTGTATCTTTGCAATAGACTCTCCACTGTACACAGAATATAGTTTGATGTTTTTGATGTGGATGGATTAGCATCATCTCTATTGCTTTTAAATATCACTTATAATACACAATTACTAATTCCTTATGGGTCAATCACAGATTTCTTTTAATTCTGGTCCATTGGTCATTGATATTATTGCAATACTATAGGTTTATAATATCTGTTAGTTTCAGGTAATCCTATTTATTCTCATTGCTCCAATAATTCAGAAATTGCTTGTTCAATTACACACACACACACACACACACACACACACACACACACACTTAACCTTCCAGATAAATTTGAATTTTTTTTTTGCTTTGGTACTGTGTTAATCTGTTTTCCATTACTATAAAAGAAAACCTTAGGCTGTGTACTTTATAAAGAAAATGTTTATTTAGTGCACAGTTTTGGAAGGTGAAAATCTAAACAACATGGTGCCAGCTCTGGAGAAGGTCCCACTGGCTATATCTCATGGCAGATGGCATCATGAAGAGAACCCATGTCAGAAGGAGGGATCACACGGCAAGATAGGAAGCTAGGGTGGAGAGGGGTCAGTCTTGCTCTTTTCTGTAACACCCTTCTCACAAGAACTAACCAGTATCTGTCAGCAACAGTAATTCTGAGGGCAGTACTCCCAGTGACCCAATGACTTCCTTCTACGCCCTATCTTTGACAAGTTCCACCACCTCTCAACACTACCACACTGAAGACCAAGCTTCCAACACATGATAATTTTGTAGACACAATCAAGCCATATTAGGTCTCTTCTCCTGCTTAAAAAAGAAGCATGTTGAAATTTTAGTGGGAAAATATATTTATAGATTAATTTTATTAAAAGTGTCATCTTTATAATGGTAAGTTTTCTTATCCATGAACATGGTAATGTATAATTAAGTCTTTTATTATGTCCCTATATGATTATTTTCTAATAGATTCTACATAATTTTTAAAAAACACACATGCATGTATGTCACACATATGACCTCTCTATAAAATCATGTGATATTTTATTGTACTTGTTAAACTGGACCTGTAAAATCTAGAATATGACTGGCCCCTAGAAATCATTGTTCTCGTACCTTCCCAGTCATCTCTTCCTGATGCAATATTTGTCATTCCTCAGCCATGTAACATGCACCAGACTCTTCCCATACTCCCTCTGCAGCATCTGCCCCTCTCTCCATCATTACTACCATGTCTCCTGCAGTGGGATTTACATACAATGTTCCAACACCTGTAGAGACCTTTCCACATTGCTCATTTTCAACACTATGCTGGAGATGCTTGGACTTTTCTATTTCTCTCTATATATTTTTTATAATGGATTCATTCATTTACACAAAAAACATGTAAAATTTTTATTGAAATTATAATGAATTTGTATATTGTATTGGGCAGAAATGACATCTTTACGTTAATGACTTTCCAATTCATGACCATGATCCATCTTTCCATTTATTTAGGTCTTCTAACATTTCTCCAAACTATGTATAGTTTTGGGGGGAAGATTATATATCTATCTTCATATTTTTATAATTTTGGAAGAATCTGATTTTAAATTTTCTGTTTGTAAATGGGTATGTTAATCCCAGCAGGAGTGGAATGGACTGAGCCCTTTCAATGGTATAAGACAAACCTCTGAGGCACTGACCTTGTCTGAAGTGCAAAAGTACTGGTTAATAGTGGGTCCAAGCTGGGGGTTGGTGGTTTGTACTGGYTTATAACCATCATTTACTGATAATCATGACATTAATGACTGACTAGGTTCTCAGTTGTTCTTGGTAAGGACACAGAAGGGCTTAGTCCACATAGCCATCAGGTATAAGCAGCCCAGTCTACTCTCCTTTAGGGGCTTCCTGGATTTGACATATTCTCTGCACATGTGGCAGGTTTCTAATCTCAGGGGGTTCATGCATCCCAGGACAGCCCTGCAGAAGAAAACTGGAGACAACCTCTCTGACTCCACACTGTGAGGTAACCTAGGGTTACATGCTTGTCCTCACTGGATACACAAGCTATTGTTATGCCAGTTCCTTTTCCTTCAATAAAATGTAGATTCCTCCTAAGCATTGCCATTTGGGGTCCTGAGCCCTAGTATCCAGAAACAAGTTGATTCTTTTTTTTATATAACAATAAAATTCACTTTGATATATTCATATATGTACATAGCATAGATCTCTTTAAGCTTTAAAATGAGATACATGTTGTGCTTCTCCAAGAGGAGTTATGATAGAGAGCCTCTTMTTTCTTTTTTAAAATATTTTTTTAGTTTTAGTTGGACACAGTATCTTTGTTTATTTTTATATGGTGCTGAGGATCGAGCCCAGTGCCTCACACATGCGAGGCGGAAGCTCTGCCACTAAGCTACAGCCCCAGCCTGAGAGCCTGTTCTTCTCTACAGAGCATTTTATGGAAGTTGTTCTCCATGGACCCCTTTTTGGTAACTGCTGCATGGTGTCCATAGATCTTTTTTCAAAAATATTTTTATTAGTGTATTATCTTTATACATAATTTTGACATAATTATATGTGCATGAAATTTAATTTGCTCCATTTCAGTCCTTCGTACTTCCTCTTTCCCTCCCCTCCTCCCTCTGCCATTCCCCTTCCTCTACTCTGTTGGTCTGTCTTCTATTTATTTATTGTTTTTTTAAATTGGTGCTTAATAGACAAGTTGATTCTTGATTATGGACCTGTATTTAGCAAACTTGTATACTCATGTAGCCATTATGCAATTCATCTATAGACTCCTTTAGACTTCTATGCTTATCCACTCACTGTGTAGAACTTCCAATATGATACATAGAATCTGAATATAATATCCATGAATTATTCCCAATACAAAGCACTTTATAAACATTTCAGCAAGAAGTATAAAGGAAGTAATCTTCCATTTCTAATTTTGAGGGGTTTTTACATGAAGAGGTGTTAAATTTTGTAAAAGTCCTTTTTTAAAAATATATCTTTATTTATTTTTATGTGATGCTAAGCACTGAACCCAGTGCCTCACTTATGTGAGGCAAGTGCTCTGCCACTGAGCCACAACCTCAGCTCCCAAAGGCTTTTTTTTTTAATTGAAGTAGTGTAATGACCTTATGAGAATGTTCAATTTTGGTTACTGGCGGTTCTATGGAAGGTATTGCATAATTAGTAACTTAAAAAAATTAGCTAAAGTTGACACATTGCTGAGGGAATAGGTCAGAGAATCACAAACTACTTATACATTGGTGAAATAACAATCATTATGTATTAAAAATTTCCCTCAATTTCACTATCATAAAAGGCCTTTCTATATGGTTGGTATTATTTTTTTGTAGCAAACCAATAAAAGTTTTTAAAAATAAATCAGCCATTTAGTTTAATTGACATATAAAAGGCCTTTTACAAAACTTAAGACCTTTTTGTGCAAAAAACCCTCAGTTTTTTGGAGGTTTAGGCCCCTTAGGCCTACACAGGGAGCACAGCTGATGCTTTACATTCAGGATGCATGAACTAATAAGGCATGAAATTGGCTTTGGGTCCCACTTCATCTTACCCTAATTTTTATTTCTGAGAGTCTACATAAAGTAATTAAATCATCAGTGGATTTCAGACTCACTGGGGCCATTGTGAGACATTCAGACTTGCATCCCTCTGCCCAGAACACAGTGTCTAGGACATAGAAGGGCTCTTCTACTAGGCATAAGGGAGTTCATGCATCCTGCCACAACCCTGCAGAAGAGAACTGGAGCCAACCCCTCTGACTCCACACTGCTTGGCAGCCTGAAGCTGCATGCTGGACCAGGCCCGGGAGATTGGGAAGCATTTACTGAATGCCTGCAATGTAAAGGTCAAGAGGCAAAGTTGGGACAGGACTTCAACAGTCTCAAGGACCTGAGAGTCTTGGCTAAACCCTCTTTCCCTCACACAAACAGACTCAGCTGAGGCAGACTGTACCAAAATAGCACCTTTATTTCTTGTGGCCCCATGGGATGAGGTTGAGGGTGGGGCATATCCTGGGCTAAAAGGGCATCAGGCCCTGCTTGGTAGGCAGGTCAGAGTCTTTCTCCTCGTGGACTTCTAGAGTCTTGGGGCTGGCCTGTGGAAGGTCAGGGTCAAGGGTGGCAGTCTTCATCAATCCTAAGCCCACACCATCCCTTCCCACCTCATAACTCCATGCCTTTGATAGGCCTTGTCTATGCCCCCAAGGGAACACCCTTTGCCCACAGACCACCTCTGAGGATTTTAGGCCCCTCTTTGCCCTCCCTTTAGGATATGTCTGTGCTTCCTTCTGTCAGATTCCAGGAATCACCACCTTTTGTGGGCCAGCTCCTTCCTCTTGCAAACTCTGGGTTTGAGCAGGTACCTGCAATCCATGCTTTTCCAGCTCTTCCTTCAGCCTGATCCAGAAAGGGTAGGTAGGAAGATGAATTTAGGAATGGAAGAGGTAAAGGGGTGCAGGAGAGACAAGAGTATGTGAAGACACAGGTGGAGAAGGGAAGAGAGACCCTTCATCCACCTTCCTGAAGAGGGTGAGGGCATAGGGGCTCTATGCCTACCTCTGCCGCTTCTGCTGCAGCTGCTGGCACCTCTGCTGCAGCTGCTGGTGGTGCTGGGCTGCAGCCTCCAAGAGCTCCTCAGCCTTCTGGTTCTCTTCCTTGAATAGCTGCCTATGGGGCAAGGTAGGGAGTCAGCATGGGTCACTTCTTCCCTCTGTCCACCCCCACCTTCCATATCTTACACTGTTGCAGCTGCCTCCTGGCTGCGGAGGAAGAGCCCCTCAGTGAGGGTGGAGGGCCCCTCAGGCATGCATAGAGAACACAGCCGATGCTTTACATCCTCCAGCTTCACCTCAACCAACTTCTCTGCAGTGGGAAGGGGTTGTGAGCAGGTATAGGCAGGAAGGCCAGGTCAGGGCCACCCTTCTCCCCTGGCCTCACCTTCCTTGAGCAGCTGCTCCTTGCTGCTGTCCAGGGTGCAGATCTCCCTTGCTAGCTGCTCTGGCCTCTGAAGGGGGCAGAAAGATTTGTCCACACTTTCCAGCTTCCCATGCCTCAAAGAAATCTGCCTGGACATGGCCATTGACCCCCTCACCATGACTCACTTCCTAGTACCCTGCCCCTCTGTGTATGTGAGCCACAATCCAGCCTCAGGACCTTTGTAATTGTCATTCCTGACTTCCCCACCCCCCCCATTCCCCAGAAACAGGCCTTGGGCAAGTTTTACACAAGAGAAACCCCAAAACCTATGACTCTGGGCCTTTATCTAGAGACATGGTCTCCAGCACAGTACTGAAGCTCCTCCCCTTCTCTCCTGCCCTCTCTGGCCTCCTTACTGACCCCTTCCCTCCTGATTCATGTTTCCTTGTTTGGTGTCTGGGATCCGCTTGGACAAGCACCTGCTGCTTGTTCCATCTTCCCATCTGTGAACATCCTCAACAATGGAGGACTCCACCTTGGTTTCATCAGGACTCCTCCTGACCACTGAACAGACACAGGACAGCAGCACAGAGAGGTGGGCAGGACCAGCAATAAGCACATAGGGTGCCTTGAAGGTGGTGACAAGAAGCTGAATTGGGGAATGGTGACAACAGGACCACCAGGGCTTGCACAGGAACAGGTGGGGCAGATGAGGTGTGAAAGGTCAAAAGCATGTCAAAGTGACTCACGTGAAATTCCCAGAGGTCCTTGTGCTGGCCCATCAGAGCCTCCAGCTGTTCTTCAAAATCCAACCTGGGGCCCAACCACACAGGCATGAGGACCCTGGGCTGAGACTACTGACCCAGTTAGGTCTTCATACATAGCCCTTGGGATATGCCATGTGCTCCACGGGGAGCAATTTCACCCCTTGGACCCTGCAAGGCTCAATTCAGCCAGATTCTCTAACTCATCCCTAACATTACCCTACCTGTGCCTCTCTGGGCCCCAGATCTCATGCACGGGATTTACCTTAGCTGTCTTTGTTTGTTTTTCTCTTCCTCAATCTGGGAGTTCAGGGCAAAAATTCTCTCCTTGCACTCTTGCAACAGGGTATGCTTCCTGGAAAGGGAGGCAGCCCTCATCCACGGTCTCTGAAAGACTCCTGGGGAGGGGGTTGCGGGGCTTCTGTTCTATCCCTTTATTCAGGTTCATGTCTGGTAACATGGTAGTGGGTGAGAGAGGGTGACAGGAGCACTTTTCCCCGTTGTGAGATTTCAGGAGATCCATGAAAGCATGGTCTCTCACCTCTGTGCCTCACTCTCCTTCTCCTGGCAGTGTAGACGAAGGATCCTCAGGGATTCTGCAAGGGAGAATGACAGGGCCCTCTCTATAAGAGCCCATCAAGACATCAGTTTTGGGCAGAGGGAATAAGGACAGATCATATCAGATATGTGGGCACCTTATTGGGTTTTGACATTTTCTGAGTCTGGTGGAAACCACAAGAGGAACACAAAATCAGGGTTTTTTAAAGGCTTCAGGTACTGTGGGAAGAGTGGGCTTCTGTGGAATAGCACAGGCAAAAGCCTGGAGACACAGAAGCCAGAAATACCTTGCTTTTTGCTCAAGATCTCCTTCAGGTGTACTTTCTCTTCATGCACTGGAAAGCACAGAGAATGTTTAGCATCAAGGACTTCCCATGATATGGTCAGAGAGTCACATGGGGAACTGTGTAGAGCCCTGTCCTCAACCCAATCAAGGACCTCTTGAGGTGAGCACCCTCTTCTTGGTGCCCACACTCCCTATAAACACCAAGGGCCCTTGGATTCACAAAGATTGTCTGTGAGGATCTTGTGACACCCACCAGGGCTGGGAAGAAACACATCAAGGAGGAAGGGGCATTTGACCACAAGGAGGCAGGGTGGTGTCTTTAGGGAGGATGACTAGGGAAGGACTCTCTGAGAAGGGAACACAAGACAACAGGGACTTGAATGGTAACAGAGGCAACAGGGACTTGTATCATCTGGGGGAACAAAGAGAGAATCCTGGCAAAGGCTCAGCAAAGGTGTGCTTGGTGGGCATTTCTAGAACACTCCACCATGAGAACAGGGTATTGGAAGGACATAAAGGATATGAAGCTGCAGAGAGGACAGGACACTTGCCTGTGGTAAGAATACCAAGTATCTGGAAAACCAAGTTAGGAAAGGCTTGAGACATTGTGGGGACCACTGTTGACTTCTAGATTGCTTACAGGAGTCGAGTTCCTTCTGTAGGGCATCCCAGACTGTCCGGGCCTCTCCCAGCTCCTCACTCGCTTTCTTTTTTGCTTCATTAGAGAGCAGATGGACACGATATTGAATGAGTACAACCTCTCACCGCAAACAGTGACAGTTAATATTTGTCTTCAAGCAAATCTAGAGGGGCCCAGATTTTACAGAGCAGGTAACTTTCATAGTACAGGCCTTTCCTGCAGGCTTGCATAGCAGTAGGACCAAGTTCACAGGCAGACTATGGTAGCTGCATGCAGAGAGTTCTGTACTTAATACTCTGTTGTTAATGTCATGAAATATCTATATACATATTTTTTTAAAACACAGGCTTCTATATTTTTACTTTGCACTGGCGGCTGGCAAAACATGTAGCTAGTTCTGGAAAACAGCCAAGGTCCCTGAGCTCACCTTGCTGAACCTCATTAATTCGGTTAATCAGGACCTCAATCTGGGGCTCTAGACTTCCAGCTGCAGGGAGGAAAGGAGACTGAGATGATGACAGAGCAGGCAGAGATGATGGGTGCCTGCCGGTGTCTACTATCTCACTCTACACAAATCTACTGAGCATCTCCTGTGCATCTCCTGTGCACAGGTGTTACATCATGGGCTCACATTCTGGGTGGGGAGACAAAGTACAGACCAATAGAGATTCTGAATCAGGTTGTGATAATTGCAGTCATGAGAAATGAAGTGGGGCAAGGGGTAAGGAATGCAGGAGTAGGAATGAGAAAATGTCTAATGGGCCCCATATCACACAAGAGGACACGCCTTGAAGCTCTCGGGTAGAGTGTGGGTAGTCAGTGCAAAGGCTTACCCTAAAGAGGGGAGGGAGAAGCTTAGAGAGCAAGTAGGGGTAGTGGAGCTGAGGGAGAAGGAAGTATGGTATAGGTAAAAACCTCTGGATCTAACAGGAGTGCTGTGGGAGCCAAGTGGGTGACCAGCAAGGGGCTTGAGACAGCATTTTGAGGAAAAAAAATTGCCTTCTAACTCCTTATATTTCTGCAATTTTGAATCATAGAGCCCTTTTTATCATTTACAATATTAAATTTTAAAATAAAGTGAAAGCAAATGCAATAATTTCCCATGGCTGTGAACTGTGGGGCTACGACTGAACCCACATCTGCCTAACCTCAGACCTCAGGCTAAACCTAGTACACAGAGGAGACTCTTGACCTTTCTGCAGCTTTTTCACCATTTCCATCAAGCCTTCAATTTTTTGTGTAGACACATTCTGCCCTGTGGAGACAAAACCAAACATTTCAGAATGCAGTAGGGTGAAAGGCCAGGGGAAGTCTCTTAACAGAGCAACGTATGTTCCTTGTCCTGAGGCAGACAGGGCATTTAAGATGAACTGGGTGCGTCTGTGGTCAGCTTTTCCACCTACAGTGTAATGACACTACAGAGCCCCTTCACAAAACTCAAGGTTGCACTCTACTGTTTGCGATCAAAGTTGAGCCAAAGTTCACAAAGTAATAATGGATAAAAGGGATATAAAAAACTGGCAATAAATTGAAAATCACTGCAACTGGTCATTAGGAAATTCTAGAAAATTTTATACAAAACAAGGACATAAGAAAATTTAAAAAGATTATCTGGTTAAAGGTATACATGTATATATACACACACATATATACACACACACATGCATATATATATACACATACACATATATATATACACATATATATATACGTATATACATATACACATATACAAATAGTTTTCCTATGTATAATCAATAATGATTCTGCTTCCCTATAAAGTAACATTTCATATTAATTTCATAGTCATTATATACATCCATTTTTGGGGGGGTACTGGGGATTGAACTCAGGGGCACTTGACCACTGTACCATGTTCCCAGCCCTATTTTGTATTTTATTTAAAGATAGGGTCTCACTGAGTTGCTTAGTGCCTCACCATTGCTGAGGCTAGCTTTGAACTCGTGATCCTTCTGCCTCAGCCTCCCAAGCCACTGGGCTTACAGGCATGCACCACTGCCCCCAGCTTACATGTCCATTTTTAACCCTCTAATAAGGCCTAGGAAATAACTTATGTCATTAACATCACAATAAAGGTAATCAGACATCATGAACCAACTAAAGCAAAAAGACATCATCTACTAAGAACTCTTGCCAAAAAATGATGCTCAGATTTACCAAAGCATCAGATTTAAATAGCAATTCAGAAAAAATTCAAGGATAGAACAACATGCTAAAAGGTATATCAGAGTACAATTAGTAACATCCAGACTGGGAACCTAAACAGGAAAAAAAAACATTTCACAAATAAATTTTCAGGGAAAAGAAAGGAGGAAGACAGACCTTCCTAACAATAAAAGATGAGGAAAATAAGACCCTCAAAGAGACACTTCAATGAATATCAAACAGTGGTCTGTAATTGGATCTGGGTTCAAATAAGTAAAAATACAAACACAATCAGCAAGCTTTCATAATTGACTAGCTATTTGATGAAATGAAGAAATTATTTTTTTCTACTATAAAAATACAATAATGGCATTACTTTCCTGGAAAGTGCTTATTTTCTAGAGATACACATGGAAATATTTATGGATGGTACTCTATGATGTCTTGGATGCTTTAAAATGAAATATTGAAGTGGGCAGTAGGGAGTGGGTATGGTAAAAAACAAAACAGAAATGAATGGCCAATAGTTATTAGCTGTTAAAGCTGTAAGATGAGAGTAATTATACCTTGTTTTCAACTTTGACATATGCTTACATTCACCAATAATTTTTTAAAGTTGTTTAACAATTTCCCAATCAATACAGTGAAGGTAAACAATCATTTTTATAGATGAGTGGAGAAAAGGAGATAAAAATGCAGTGGTTTGGATTCTTGCCTTCCGTATGCTTATGTGGTAAAGGGTTGATATCTAGTGTGTGGTGGTATTGGGAGGTATTAGAACCTTTAAGAGGTGGGACCTATTTGAAAATCTCCCAGTCACATTGGGGCATGTGATTCTTGAAGGGGCTACTGGGACTCTGGTCATTTCTCCCTGCCTCTTTTTGCTTCCTGGCTGTCATGAGGTAAGCATCTTCCTCTACAATGCACTCCTGCCACGACTGTCATCTTACCACAGGTCCAAAAGTGACAGAGCCAACTGATCATGGGCTGAAATCTCCAAACCTGTGAGCCAAAATAAGCCTTTTCTCTTTGAAGTTATTTCACATATTTTGTTACAGTAAATGAAAGCTAACGATAACATAAAATTATATAAGTTACCAATACATATTTGAAAATAGTTACTGTCATATTTAAAGTGCTAATTAATATACGGCACCTTATTTGTGATACTATGCAGGAACCAGCACTCATGTTCACTGATAGAGACTATGGAAGCCAATGTGACTTTTGGAAGGCAGATTGGCTACACGATATTTGGAAGGCATATGTCCAATTCCAGGAGTTTACTGATTAAATATCCTCAGTAAAGTATGCAACACATATTTGATGGCAGTGAAAACGATATTTGTGAAACTAAAAACATGAAACAGCTTGAGTGCTTATCAGTAGAAAACTTGGGGTTTAACAGAATGCTATGTAGCCACTAAAAAGGAGGCAGATCCATATGTTAACATGAATAAGAGATCCTAAAAATGTTAAAGAGAAAAGAAGTGCAGTGACCACAAAAAGGTCAACCAAAGGTATGTATGCCATGTTTAGATTATTCCTAGACAGATCACACACCTGCATTTAAAAAAAAAACAACACCTGGACAGTGCTTACCTCTGACGGTAGGAATCCTTGACAAAGGAACAGGAAGGAGGAAGTTTATTTTTTGCCACATACACGTCTGTATATTTTTATATTTTTAAAAATTTATGTTATAAAAATATGCCTTTTAAAAGCTCTTGAAAATCAATTAGAAAAATGCCAACTCTTCCATTTGAAGAAAAATGAGTGGAGAGCTTTAAAGGAACCCACATCAGCTTCCACACTGCCAGCTCTTTGGGTGCCTGTGCCCCCTCCCCACTGGCACTTTCACACCGTGGTTTTCCTGGGTGGCGATAGCCTGCCGTCTCCTGCACACTGCCGGCAGATGGGGGTGTGTGYGCCTCAGGGGTAGGCAGGTTCCTTGGCATCTGCAGGTGCCTGGGAGCACCGACGTGGCAGGGTCGCCAGGCACCCRTGGGGCAGCAGGCCCCAGGAGCTGGGAAGGGGGTTCCAGAGGTGCCCAGGGTTTGAGAGGCGGGGTGGCCCGTGCAGCTGGGAGGAGGATCGGAGAGTGCCCCGAGGTCGGGTCGGGAGGTCCCCGCAGGGTCGGAAGGTGTGTGACGGGGGTCTGCACCCCCAGCCGGCGTCTCCCTGGTTCCACGGCTGCACCGAGCCCTGGTCGGCTCCTTCTGGGCCACCTCGACCCACGAACCCTTCTGGCTCACCCGCCATCCCCCAGTCCCCGGCGCCCCTGCGAGTCCAGCCGCAGGCGACTCCGAGACCAGGCTGGGGTCTCTCAGGGCCACGGGGGCGCGTCCTCGACGTGGCCGCCRCACACCAGGGAGACCGCCAGCCGATCGCCCTCCCCGGGAACCGTTCGCGGGAGACCTCGAGGTCCCCTCAGCCAGGCCGCCACTGCGGAGCCCTCCGCGCCCTGCCCAGAAACCGCTCCAGCGGGCTCTGCAGCCCCAGCCCCGCGCTGCCACTACCTCTGGGGCCCTCGGCTCCCTGGGCCGGGTCCGCGGCTCCCGCGGGCTCCACCGTTGAGGGTCGGGGCCTGGCCGCCATGTCTCAGCGCGCGCACCGCCGCCTTGCTCGACGGCTGATTGGACCAAACCGCACGGGGGCCGCGCCTGCGCAGTGGCCCCCACGTGCCAGTTGGAAGCTGGGCGGGGTCCAAGTCTGGCTCTGTGCCTAGCAGTTACAGCGGGCGCCGGCTGGAAGCTTTAGCCCGCAATTGCAAGCCCGGTTTAGGGGGTCGGGGAGTGGGCGAGCTTCCAAGCTGGTGATTGGCCAGTTGAGCAGGTAATCACTTGCGCGTGGGTAAAGTCTGCGGGGCCCCCAGCTCTGAGTTTCAGCAGTTGGGAGGATCAGCTCCTCTCTGCCAAGTGCAAGGCCCCCCAAAGGATGGTTACCTGGTGTGGAGAGAAGCAGATACAAAGAAGCTTCCAGAGTTTTCCCCAGGAGGTTGGGGGAAGAGCAGTCTCAGAGGGAACCCGCCAACCATAACCCATAACCTCCGCAGCTCCAGAGGCCCAGCAGTGAGGCCCCGGCAGGGAGGAGGGACTGAATTATCTAGAATGCCCCAGGCATTCAGAGAATTTATTCAGAATTTATTAAAATTTTATTTCTCATCTTTCATGGAACTAAAGTCAACCATATTTTGTTTTGGTTGATAAAATCACAGTTTAATTGAGAGTGT